CAGCGGCTTCGTCCGCTTTCTTGTCAGATCAAAAGCAGCCTATATGTGATTCCAGATCATTATCTACCCCTGTCCGAATTTTATTCCGATCCTTTCAGCAGTATTGCCGTGAAGGAGAAACAAACAAACATTCAACTTTCTCATTTATATTATTAGTAGGAGTATAACAGTCCGGATTTATGTTTTGAACTTATCTTAGATAATAAGTTACATCAAACCTGTATCAAATATTAATATCTCCAATAATTCACAAAGCTACTTGATTTGAACCCAATTCCCCAAAACTTTGAGGTGTTACTTAGTTGCTTAACTTATCTCTTAACAGTTACAAAAGTAGCTCGTAATAGTTTTGATCCTTAAGTAGTTCAGTAACATAACATTTTACCCCCGAAGGGGTAGGCAGAGCTGCACATTACGGCACTTAATGCCATTGTACAACGGAACACCACTATACACTATTTAAGATTTGAGTCCCTTGCAATAGGGGGTGAGCCTATTGCCATAATATATCGGGCACAATTCCAGACTCCATGCTACCACAGAGACTTTTTTAATTACACTCCCAATAATCCCAATAATATTTTGCCCGACCCGGGAATCGAACTCGAGACCCCTTGTCCAGCAGTCTCCTTTGCGACCACTCGGCCTACGAGACAGGCCCTTAATTTAATAAATTTATTACAAAATTTTAATCAAATCATCGAATTGTTCTATAAATCTTATCCCCATATACGTAAATAAGTTTATACTACGCATTCCAATAAATATTGTTGTAACAAGACTAATAATATCGTTATTGTAACAAATTACTGACATATTCCATATTAATTTATTAGTGACATAAGCAGTATTAACGACGCATTAGGGATAATTAGAAACGACCTGATTAGTCACTGTTGATTAGACTTAGCTCAACTAATACGACGATTGTGTCTTTGCTCGTTCAAAATTAATATTTGAAATTTTTGAGGATTTTCCCAGAGGGAGAGCCCAGGGGGCTTACTCTTGAATCCAATTCCGATCGATCGACATTGACATTGTGAAATTTTGTACTCTTGAGTTGCAACACTAGCGCCAATTGCATGCGTATTGCATGGATTTTTCATGAACTAAATAGTATTGAGTTTGGCTATATATTCCGTACTCTGAATGCTATTTTAACAGCTACGATAGGGGTTGTATAGTTTTGACATTGGATAATTATTGAGATTTTATTGGATTGATATTGCATTGACATTGAGATTGGTTTCAAGAGTAAGCACCCAGGTCTCCATCCCTGGTCCTGGAAACAGAAGACCCCATTTAAGAGCAGCTTTAGCCTTATTCTCAACTGAGTTATTCTGTACTGTAAATCACATATTCAATCATAAGAAAGCGTGTCGCCTCCCTGATGCAGCGGGTGCGGGGCAGCGCCAACAGTCTTCTGATGACCGTGGCGGATAGGACTGATGGCCTTATGCTGAAACACTGGACGAAGACGCAAGTGATGCCTACAAACCGTGCCCAGAAGTAGTGAAAGTCAGCAGTATTGTTGCTAAATTATCATTAGATTACATATTATGACAAATTATTTTAATTTTATATGATGAGGTTTGATGTACTAATACTAGTTTATAAGTTGTAGATGTCTTTACTAACCATATGGATTGTATTATCTGAATGAATAAATAAATTATTATAATTATTAATACTAACATACATATTATATTGAGTATCGACACTTCATCATACATATACAATCAATTCCACTGTATGAGAAATAAAAGTGTAATTATAAACTATGTTTAAAAAAACTAACATCGACCTTCTCTTTTTTAAAGTCTTGATTGAAATTTGATTTTGACTTTGACTTTGACTTTGATTGATTGACTAAAAGCTTCACCTAAGTGTACCAAACACTTCTCAAACCACATCGTAATCAGTTCAGCCAATCGCGCACAAGCATACGTATAGGTCAGATAACCTCCATTTTTAAATCGGTTAAAAATAAAAAATCAAGCGTGAATGCTCTTAAGGACCAAATTCTCGCGTTCCACAGGACCAAAAACGAATAACACCGGGAAAAGCTGACATATCAATTTGTAGACAGGTTCAATTCACTCATTCAACTTTTGTGATGACTCAGCTCGTTATTTTCATACGTGGAGAGCAATTTGAAAACTTCTGCGATAAATCTTTTGTGAATAGAGAGCATGGTCAGCGTATAATGTCCCACACAAATTGGTCATATCCGGGAAAAAATGCGAGTCTTTCCGTACAAGTGCTGTAAAAGTAACGTAATCAGATTTTAGTCGTTATAAACGTGTCAAAAACGAACGACGAAACGAGGTGGGATGTAAAATAAGTTTTTGATGTCTGTATTCTTGGGGAGAATTTCTATTAAAGGTATTGCAGGTGGATAGCACACTTGAATACTTATTACTACTACTTATTACTATTTCTTTCGAGATGTATGTATGAGGTTATTTTCTTTATATTCTAAACATAGCTTAGATTTAGTAAATGCACTTTTTTTACTATGACATCAATTGTATGTCCCTCATAATACCCCTATCATTTCTAAGATCTTTCGTTCTGCTTCTAAACATCGACATTAAAATCTCATCGTCATCATCATCAACAGCCTATAAATGCCCACTGCTGAGCAAAGCCTCTTCACAAACGGAAAAGGTTTGAGCATTAATCACCACGCTTGCTCAATGCGGGTTCGTGATTACAAACTTATAATTAGAAATTTTAAGCCCAGGTTACCTCACGATGTTTTCCTTCACCGTCTGTCAGTGGTATCTAGATAATCTTAGAAAGTACATACAACTCGGAAAAAGTCACATTGGTACTTGTAGTTGGTAGGTTTCGAACCCGCTCCCTCATACATGAGAGGAGGTCTTAAACCTGCCCAGACGTTTAAGACGACATTCAAATCTGAAATATTCAAATAAAATCGAAATGACTGTAGTAAACTCCACAAAATCCTAAAACTGATCTAAAACGATAATACTAAAAGGATTGATGTAAGTTTGCAAAAGTTGTTACTTCTATACTTCTACCTTATTTAAACAGACGGTGAAACTGCTTCATTTTGATACCGAGCAGAGCTTTATGACTGCTAATATTTAATAGAGCCAAATATACCAATCCGTATTCAGTTTGTTATACGTGTCTACTGCGTACGCTTGGTTGTCGACTGATTCTGTCTTTAGAGAATTAACGAGCTCACAAATCCCGGTGGATGACCTACCTAACCTAACCTAACCTTTGTAGTTGGGATTTGAAGCTAGCTGTTATTCGTAAACGGTTTAGTTTAAATTTCTAACATAACATCATCATCACGCCTTTTATCCACAAAGGAGTACGCTGAGGTGCACATAACGGCATTTTAATGCCACTGTACACTATTTTTACATAGTAGGCTGACTGACTTCATAGTGTTGGTACATACATGATTTATTAAAAATAGAAGCTATAAATATATGTATGTACCTCTAGAGTGTTTCACTAACCCCTAAAAGTTGAAGCAAAAACAATATTTTAGAAGTATCTACACGTACCACAAAAAACTTATCCAACACATCATGATGTCTAATGACACTCATTTATACTGATAAAACATATTGATTATAACTAAATCTATAATGATGATGAGGAAGTAAAACAAAGAAACAATAAGGATGATTTTGCTGTTGAGCTTCACCACACAACAAATCTTGATTCATAAACGGTACCAAAAAGATTTTGGTAGCGTGTGCCGCCAAAAGTTCCTTACGACGATTTCCTAATTATTTCCTTCCCTTTCTCCTTGCCTTAACAAGTCTTCAAAGTTGGATACTCCAAGGTTATGGGATCCCTTGTACACCTGCTTTAAGAACGATTGATTTATTAGACCAATACTCTGCAATTTATAGCGACGAATAAAAGGCTATTTAGATTTTATAGGAGTGTATCCTAGTTTGTTTTGTGTTTAGACCTGTTTTTTTTTAAATATAACTGCATCATATTTGCTTTTGTTTAATGGTGTAATCTGATGCAGACTCTGTCTATTATCGCTACTTAGTAAGGATATTAAGTACATAATATAACAATATGCCTCTTATTCCCAAAGGGGTAGGCAGAGGAACACATTACGGTACTTAATGCCACTGTACAATGTAACACACACTTTTACTATGTTATGAGTCTCATGTAATAGGCGGAGAGACTTTTGCCATATACCGGGTACAATTCCAGACTCCGTGCTACTAATGAGAATTAAAAAAAACTCAATAATACTTTGCCCGGGAATTGAACCCGAGAGCATTTGCGGCTACTTCGGCCAACGAGGCAGTCAGAAGTCATATGGATAATACGACTATCGGAAAATAATTATTAAAGAAAAAATGGACTAATAACTTTGATCGACCCATGAATTTTACTGTAGTCGAGAACTAATTATTTAATATTATTTAATATTAATTATTTCTTTTTATTGTCTTGTGGCTTCGCATCAACCGCTTCAATTCTCTGCACTTCCCTATGGTTGAATGTCAGAGAATGCCTTAAGGCATTAAGTCCGCCATTCACTGTCATCTTTGGTGAATAAATAAATAAATAAACTAATTGGTAATTATTACGTACGTCTTATAACCATGCAACTGACGAGGTGAGAACATAACAATACCTATTATAATAGCTGACAGCTTTTGTCATTTTCCTGGAAAACATTTTAATGTTAAAACTTATTTCTAAGAACTTCACTGAATTATTGTCCCTAAGTTCTGTTCGACCGACTAACTTTACAAGACAAGCAAAAATTCGTTCAGCTGTGAAATTCAATGAATTTATACTCCAGATATTTATTGTACTTGACTGGTTGATTTTCGGTTTAATGATCGGAATTACCGATTATAAAGTACCTAGAGTGTTCTATGATTAACAAAATTGTTACTGAGTACGAGATATTAAAGACTGAAAAAAAAACAGGTCTCTTTCAAAAATCTCATTTGGTCCTTTGAGCCTATTACAATATGATCAATATTCTAAAATGGGAATTAAATGGAGGTACAATCCCTCTCCTCCCCAATCTGCAAATCTGAGGATTATTCCTCAAATCCCTAACTCCTGAAAGACCAGCAACGTTCTTATATTTCCTCTCATGTGGCGGGTGTCCATCTCGCTGCCTTAAAATCGCCCAAGAGCCAACAAAATAGACACATTTTAAGCACTGATGCTCTTGTAGTTCAATATTATCATTAGTTTTTATTCGACAAAATCTATAACTCTGTACTCGTACTCAGCGCTATCCACGTGGCAGCACTGGCAGGGTCGGCATGCAATGTGAAGCAATGAAGGAGACGTGTTGTTGTTAGGAATAACTTTAATGAAGTGTCTTTAACTTACCCTACTTATTTATAGGGCGAGGTGTCACACGCACTATAGGATCCATATATCTTGGAATGAGCAAATAGCTTTCCTTTTATATTTTTTGTTGACGTTCAAAAATGCCTTCCTCGTCTAATTAAGTGTAAATGATTTTGACTTTTGACTTTGATGCCTATACTATAAAGACACATTTTGTATTTTAACTTATTTTTCTACGAAATAAAACGCCGTGATTTATTGACAAAAGCTATCTACATTTTTGTCGTAGCAAAAACTAGTAATCCGAGTGGGTTTCTTACAAATGTATGTAGATAGAATTGCTTACTGTTCCAAGTGAATAACAACGCAGATGGAAGAAAGAGAATATTTATAGGCCTAGAGAAAAAAATCCTTTTTTATTTAATATGATACAAGTGATATGTGAACTAAAATGCAGAAACAACGAAGTATGCTGATATTAAAGTGAAATTATGGACATATTTTTCTACATTAGGTACGGTCTTGCAAAAAAGAACTATGTCATAATAATGAAAAAATATTCAACTACATACTTCTAGTTAGTAGAAATATTTCATTTCGCGACGTATTTTTATGAAGGTTTTCTGGAACAGCTTTCAATACTGTAGCTTCACTATTGTCATTTTATTTGTTGGCATATTATTCCAAAGTACGTGGTCCAATAAATGACTGTAGAATTGTAGTACAAAAACAGTTCATGTTGTTATTAAAATTCTCGGATTGGATCCCAGGTTGCTAAAACTTTATTGATTTTTAATTTTTTGTTTCATCATCAACAGCCTATAAATACCCACTGCTGAGCAAAGCCTCTTCTCACACGGAGAAGGTTTGAGCATTAATCACTACGCTTGCTCAATGTGTGTTAGTGATTTCAAACTTATAATTAGAAATTATAAGTCCAGGTTTCCTTACGATGTTTTCCTTCACCGTTTGTCAGTGGTGTCTAAATAATCTTAGAAAGTAGGTACATATGACTCGGAAAAAGTCACATTGGTACTTGCCGTTGGTAGGTTTCGAACCAGCACCCTCATGTATGAGAAGTGCGTCATAAACCTCCGGGCCACCACGATTTTTTGTTTACCTATTAAAAATTTTCAAAATAAACTGTTTCTGGAATTCAGAATAGTGTTTTTCTGATAGATTTTCTTAGCATCCAAATGTAATCTAAATGTATAAATTGCTCTTACTTATACTTATAGAACCTTTGTTTATTCATTTTTTCTTTAAGTAAGTCTATTAACATTATTTTAAACTCTGCTCTCTTCATACTCCTTTGCACCAGATTTAATTCACGAAGAAAAACCTTGGAACCTTGTGTAAAAGGCATCCTCATATTAGTTGGGAACTATGCCAGAAACGCTTGAAGAAGTTTTTAATGAGACCTTTTTGTTCATATATTATTATTATATATACATATCAAGCTATGCATACCCGGGTTATCATGGTCTAGCTTTATATGATGTTGCCGTTCATTCAACAGTCAGTTTATACTGGTTTTGCATAGCCTAATATGTATGCACATAACATGGTCCTTTGAGGCGGAAATATGGAGAAAAAATATTGAATCTTTACCCTTTACGAAATAGGTTTTTTTCCTGTTCCCTTGCCAATTCTTGGAAGTGTATAACGTCAGTTCTGTGTATGGTTTCTTGTTAAAAGTACTCTTACTTTGATCAACAATTCTTTTTCGTCAATTGTAATAATGTATTAATTGTAAGAATGTATAGGTTCACTTTTGTTTGTTTGTTTGGCTTAAAGGTAGGAGAGGTATCAATCACAACTTTTTTTAAACGGTTTTATTTAGTTCATGGGTTAAGTCGGTAATTGAGCCGACGGATCATCTGATAGTCAGCAATTGGCGTCACCCATGGACACCTAGAACATCAGAGGGCGTTACAAGTCCGTTACCGGCTTTTTGGGAATTAGGAATTTGAGGATTGTTGGGGATTCAGGGGTTGGGGAGATTATGGAGTGTAATTGTGCCTCGGGTAACCTCACTCACATGACGAAGCACAAGCGTCTCCACATCGTGTGGGAGAGCCATGCTTCGCTACGTGTGGGCTGACTAGACCGGAGTTATACCACGGCCTCACAGAAGACCGACGTGAAACAACGTTGTGTTGTGTTTCGTTGTGTGAGTGAGGTTACCGGAGGCCCAATTCCCCCCCCCCCCCCTCCTTTCCCCAATCCCTGAATCCCCAACAATCCTCAATTTCCTAATCCAGAAGGCCGGTAACGCGCTTGTAACGTCTCTGGTGTTGCGTGTGTCCGTCTGCACGTTTACCGGCTTATCCCATAAAAAAAAACATAGGTTTTCGCATTTTTGAATTCGGATGTTACCAGAAATAGACTCGTTTTTAAAATCATAAGACTTTCGACTGAAAAGTAGATGATACATTATATTTATATCAAACAGCTTAAGAAGCAACTTATTAACTTACAATTTCTTTGTCCACAGCTTCAGTCGCAAGAATCGCAAAGTTCCTAGGAGGTACTGGCACGCCTCTGGTCACAACTGGCGGCTTCACGTTCGACTTTGTCAAACCAAAGAAGACATGTCAAGATGAGTTTTATATGCTTGTCAGAGCTGGACCTCTCGGCTTTGAGGATCTTGCCTATTTCATCATAAAATTGATGGCAGCGTAAGTATCTGAATTTTTTTTTGGGATCTGCATCGATGAGGATCTTTTCCACTGGATCATTCTACTCCTAGTCCTCTTTGTGAGTTATACATACATACATGATCTCACGCCTGTCTCCCATGAGGGTAAGCAGAGGCTATGGAACGCCAAAACTCTACGATGTTTACATACCTCTTTCGCTTCATCAAGAGTCAGCAGTCTTTTGATGCTTGCTCGTCGGTTAGGGTTTTTAATTTGTGGTCCTTCTTTGATATATTGCCAATCTGGTCAATATAATGTCAATTTAGGGCACCTTCTACCAATGGTCCCATTCTTATCCACTCTGTATACTTCTTTCACTTCTCGTAACTCTGCTTTCATTAATCCTTTTTACATGAGTTACCTATTCAATAGCGATTATAAGGTCTATATTGAAAATTACTGCCTCGTTGGTTAAGTGGTCGCAATCACGGAGTCTGGAATTGTGTCCTGTATATGGCAATAGGCTCACCCCCTAATACATGGGACTCATAACATAAATACCTACAGAGGCATTAAGTGCCGTTATGTGCACATCTGACTACTCCTTTGGGGATAAAAGGCGTGATGTTATGTATTTGCAAAAAATACCCTGTTTTGCAATCGAAACAAGTTCTATATTTCTCATAATCCTAATTAATTTTGAAAAGTCCCTCGTCTGTGTAGGTTATAGTTCTATCTCAATCACAGTTGACGATTTTCAAGGATAGTTAAATTTTAAATTGTGACTTTTTACGATGTACACACGGCTACACATCGAGCTTTACATAACTGAACGTTAAATGTGCGGAAAGATGATGCGACGCGACACCAGGATAAACTGGTTTTGTATAGAATGATGTGTGGCCGTGTGTACATACCCTTGGTAGCAAAGAAACGGAGCCACTAGCGTTTTTTTCTTTTTCATTCAAGTAAATATTTTTTGGTATTTATTATAACTACATATTTTATTATTTGGTAACATATGTCTTATAAAAGGCAATTTAGTTATCTTTAAAATGAGAGCATTGTGTTGGAAAAAGAATATTTTTTTTTGTAATTGTATAGGGTTTGATAAAACGAGACATCGCTAGCTGGCTCCATTTCTTTACTCCTAAGCCTCCTTATGTCAAGGTAAGTTTTGTTTAAGGCTTTGGTGGCGGTTACTTGAAATTGTTTCGTTGCGTATACCTCTATTTGTTGATTTATTGTCAATATTGCCTGATTGGCCAGGCAGGAATCTCTGAACTTTATGGTAAGTACTGTAATAATGTTGTTAAATAATTATAATATGCAAGTCTCTTCGCCATTAGTTATTGTTTTGCGGCTTACTCACGTAGTTATTTTACGAGGCTCTCAGTAGCAGCGCGACATTCGCCGCGTCACGGGTCGCTGAATGCTGCTCATAAATATGAGCCTGTAGCATGGCTGGAAACCAGTCGAGTGCCTCGTCACATAATTACATGAGTAAGCCGACAAACAATAATTAATTTTTCGCCATTTATATATAACCTTAATAAATAGGAACTGTACAACTTTTCATAACTGGTCAAACTGAAGGATTTAATTAAATAAGAACTTCGTTAAAGTTATTTCAAAGTTACACCAGTTAATAGAATTACGTAATTACCTTTGAGTGTTTTAGTGAGAAATATGAATGAAAACTGAAGTGTACTTACTAAGAGAAAAGTATTTAATGTATCTATGTAGGTATAGAAAATGTCCTTCACGAACACTACGTTTAAACGCCATTTTGTTTGGAGCCACTTTTATAGTATGGGGTAATATTCCATAATTTAATTACACCAACTCTGAAGGAGTTAGAAGGAAGTGTGGTGGGAAGGAATCTCTAGAAGCAAACTTTCAGCTGAACGGAGATTTCGGCTGTGAGAGCTGCCCAAAATCCGAAAGCTAGACTTTAGGTATTCAGGAGCACAAGAATCATTTAGAATAGAGAAGAGCATGCAGAGGGATCTAAGGGACCGCCTCTCACGGGCCGGTAAACGAGCAGACGGATCACCTGATGGTAAGCAAACGACGCCGCCCATAGACACCTGGAACATCAGGTGTTACAAGTACGTTACTGGCCTTTTGGGGATTAGGAATTTAAGAAATGTTAAGGATTCAGGGATTGGGGAGATTGAGCAGGGGGGTAATTGGGCCTTCAGTAACCTCACTCACACGACGAAACACAACGCATATGTTGTTTCACGTTATTTTTTTGTGAGGATGTGGTATCACTCCGGTCGAGCCGGCCTATTCGTGTTGAAGCATGGCTCTCCTACACTTGTCTGTAAACAAATTGATTAAAAGAAGTGTGTATATAACATATGTACTTATCAAGGAAAACCATCCGTCATGGTTTTACGATATGATATTATTCTCAAAGCTCTCAGTATTGGATAGTAAATAAGGATTTTGTCTGCATCTTACGATTTCCCTAAAGAAATAAATTGTTCTTTGCAAAATGACCAATTTATTTTGACCTCCCTGATGTTGGGCATTTCAATGACCGAGTGAGACATTTATATTTGTGAATGATAGCGTGGGAAAGAGATAACAAGACGCCTAGTGCGTTCTTCAAAGGGTTCAATTTACGGCGTCTATACGGGCGTTATACTTTACTTCACTTTTCATATAGAATTTTTATAGCAGACTCTAAGCCAAATAAAGTTTAATTTACAAAATCAACTTGATATTTATGAAGTCCTAAAGCTTTTATGGAATTTCTATATCTATGAGTTCATTTCAGTGGTAATAAATTTCATAAAATAAGCACTACAATTTTCTCCCAGTATATTCATGTGAGTAACCCGCGATGTTTAGTTAATTTAGTTAATGGACACTAGATTTTCAGTAAGATTTTGTATAAATAGTTATATAGTATAGACTAAGTAGTACTAGTATAAATAGTATAGACTAACGAATAACTTCATTAATTATATTATGTATCTGTGACCAGTAATTGTTACATCTCTACCTGTGTCTATAAAAAACAACACCACTCGTATTATGGTTATACGAGTGAATAGGTTGCTTATGGGACGACGTGCTCCATAGACCGTACACCGCATCATCGCTTGTCACCAGACGTCAAACAAAACGTCAACACATCAAATATATAAAAAAATGTAGGTAATCGAAATCGAATAACCTCATAATGGAGACTCACTATCATAACATGAGAATTCTTTTAATAAAATTTTTAACTTAATATAAAGACTTTTACAAAGTTACTTATCCGTGAATCCTTACTAATATTATAAATCGGAAAGTGAGTTTGTTCCACTTTCATGCCGTAACTACTAAACCGATTGCTTTGAATTTTTGTAGACGTAAAGTATGAAGTCCGGATTAAATAATACGGTACTTTTTAACCCGGAAAAATTTGATATTCCCGAGGGAAAACTAAAATATTGGTATAGATGGCGCTGTGTGTATTGGTATAGAGGTATGTCACATAGGCTACTTTTTATCCTTTTGTGACGCGAGCGAAGCCGCAGGTAAAAGCTAGTAATACTTAATATTTGTCAGTCAACTGAAGAGTAAAAAATAAATACTTGAACTATTTCTTTACTTGGAAATGGACTTTGTAAGTACTGAACAAACTCAATAAAGCGTTTTTCTTCTATGTCTGTTTCTGATCTATGTAGTTTAGAAACAGAAACAGAGAAAAAACGCTTCACTGAACTCAGTGAATGAATGAGAATATTTTAAGTTGATTTACCCATTACACTTTAAATACCAATATTCTTCATGTTTACCAAGTGTGGGAGAACTAAGCTTCGGCACGAATGGGCCGGCTCGACCGGAATGGTGCCACGGCCTCACAGAAAGCCGACGTGAAACAACGCAAGACGTCGTGTAAGTGAGGTTACCGGACACCTAAATACCTTCCTCAGTCTCCCCTATCCCGATACCAAATAATACTTAGTCAAATTTCTAATCCCCAAAAGGCCGGTAACGCACTCGTAACACCTCTGTTGTTTCGGGTGTCCATGGGCGGCGCCGATTGCTTACCATCAGGTGATCCGTGAGCTCATTTCACAGGTCGGCTTTTTTTCAAAAAAAAAAAAAACAAAAACTAATCTCAACACAATTTTTTCAATGTAATTTAGTTTTCAAATTGTTGTGTTCAAAATCAAAATTCAAATAAAAAATTTCAAAAAGTATTTATTTGCGTAAATAAGGTACATATAGTTTTAATTTTCTAATAACTTAGGTCCTCTTATTTGACCCTCAACATCGGCGTGCAAAAATAATGCCTAGTTTAAAAAATTGTTATTATCTCCAAGAAAATTAAGATTAAAAGACAATTTTATAAAAGAGAAAAATGTTACAAAATTAACCCGAAATATCAGAAATGTCACACACAATATTCTTTTTAATTATTCTGTTTTATTTTGTAAAAATAAAATTAAAACAAAATAATGTTAAAAGCAAGAGATCGTTTTAAAACATATATTCAAACAAAGAACTACACAACAAAATGGATTAACGTTTTTAATTTGAAAAGAGAACGCTTGGTCCACCATTTTTTATTTGAGCAAACTGTGCAACGAAAAGTCATCTGAATAATTTCAACCAACCTTTTTTTAACCGGAGTAAGGTTTAAAAAAAAACCAGTGGGTTTGGAAATACGAGCCGACCCTAACTGTCCATGTGAGGCGTAACGGCTGCATCAGATTGTGCGGAACAAATATTTTGATTGTGCTACTCCTAACCGATTGAAAATGGTCGCCTTTTCGAAGCTGTGTTGCAGAAAATTGAATGTGGAATCGTCCAATTCTTTCAAGTAGACGCAGTTCAGGTCTTTTATGTTCACTATATCGCAAACCGATCTGTTTAAGAGGGCATTGTTATATGTCTGCATAACCGGACAAGAGAGATATAACACACAACAGACACAATAGACTTTTGTAAAGATTTAAAGGAAAGTCAGAGGTTAAAATCCTATTAACTCGTCGAGTACCGGTTTTATAGACACAATTAAAGAACAATAGGTCGCGGTCACCGGTGACCGCTTGGTGTTTGACAGTTTAAGGGCCTTTGTGGTCGGGTAATAGAACATAAAATTATTGGAGAAGAATACCTATTGAGCATAATTTAAAGTAGATAGTTGAAAATCTTTTGCCAGTATCGTCTGTATGTAGGTTTCATCGTCATCAACGGCCTATAAATCGCCGAGCTATCACCGCTGAGCAAAGCCTCTTCTCACACGGAGAAGGTTTGAGCATTAATCACCACCGTTGCTCAATGCGGATTAGTGATTACAAATTTATGATTAGAAATTATAAGCCTGGTTTCCTTACGATTTCAAGAGTGGGGGAGCCATGCTTTGGCATGAATAGGCCGGCTTGACCGGAGTAATACCACGGCCTCACAGAAAACCGACGTCAAGCAACCCTTGCGTTGTGTTTTGTCGTGTGAGTGAGGTTACCGGAGGCCCAATTATCAAATCCTCAGTCTCCCGAATCCCCGAATCCTCTACAATCCTCAAAGTTCCAATTCCCAAAATGCCGGTAACGCCTTTTTGTTTCGGGTGTCCATGGGTGGCGTCGATTGTTTACCACCAGGAGATCCGCCTGCTCGTTTACCGGCCTAAGCTATAAAAAAATCGATGTTTTCCTTCACCGTTTGTCAGTGGTGTCTAGATAATCTTAGAAAGTACATGTAACTCGGAAAAAGCCACATTGGTACTTGGCGTTGTAGGTTTCGAACCCGCACACTCATACATGAGAAGCGGGTGTCTTAAACCTCCGGGCTATCACGACTGCGCCTGTATGTAGGTTCAATTAATTTATTAATGTAAAATAAAATATAAATAAATAACAAACCAATAAACAAACTATTGTTAATAAACAAACTACAATATACATACATACATAGACTCATAGCATATAATATAAATATGAACATAATTACTAATACTCTGTAAATAATTATTGTGATGATTCATGATGTGTTACATTGTACAGTGCTATTAAGTCCCGTAATGTGCACCTCTGTCTATCCCTTCGGGGACAAAAGGCGTGATGTATATTATGTTACATTTGTGATATTAGCTAAGGATACTTTACAATAGCCCATAACACTTTCAAATAGACCGAGACAAATGAAATGTTAGATCGAAGTCTAACATTATCTCCCCACTTTACAAGTTACATTGTTACGTCACAAAATGGCAACCCATTGTGTTTACGCATTCCCACCGATGGCCAGGAGAGCACAGCCATTAGAGCCTTTTCACACGTACCGGTTGCCGGGTAACCGGCACCGACTGTCCCGTATCACATTTAGTTTTCAAAGCCAATTTTATACCCAGTAGCGCATTTACTATCGACGCGAGTACAGTCGCGTATTGTTTGTGGGATGCCAACGCGCCGATGCGTATGAAATCATACTGCGTCTTCTATGCAGCGTATTCGGCCGCTAGTTAACCGGTAGGTACCGATCCGGTGTGCATCCGCCAACCGCATGCCGGACAAATTACGCTGGTACCTAAGTACACACGGCCACACATCAATCTATACAAAACCAGTTTATCCTGGTGTCGCGTCCCTTCATCTTTCCGCACATTTAACGTTCAGTTTATACTGGTTATTTTTTTTTTTAATGGGACAAGTCCGCCACAACCTCCCAAAACCTTTGCATACAACCATGAAAACATCGGAATGACATGAATAACTGTCTTGGTTCCCGCGACGAAGTGAATCAGAAGATTAAGAGGAGATGAAAAAAACGATAGTTTCCATTTCCCTCGGTGAATTACTGCAGGAGACAGAGTGAATTAAGCCTAAAGGAACAAAGAAAGAGACAAGAGGCGCCGCCGGGTACCCGACACCGACTACCTGACACCGGCTACCCGGTTACCGGTACGTGTGAAAAGGCACTAACAGAGTACAAATATCGTCCGTTTGGGGCGCTGTTAAATAAAGTGACACGACTCGATGTAATGGAGGCGATAAAGAAGAGTGCTTCTCTGGGTTATATGTGATGTGGTGTGAGTGACATAACTAGGGACTATCTCTTTATTTTTACCACATTACAATTAGACGTTCTTTTTAGACTCGAATAGGGTGGACAGTGTTTGAAAAATAAAAATGTAATTAGTCCGTCAGTTAGATAATGAAAAAATAATAGACATTTTTTTTATTCTGTCGTATAAGAAAAGAATACTTAGAGGTAGATAAAACAGAATTGAGTTTAGGATTATGAGGTCGTTACGTCACGTTAACCTATAAAATGTAGTAAATCGTGACGTCACATAATATTTTAAATCAATATATCGTCGAAAGTATTTAAATTTGTGAGAAAAGAAAAAATACGTGTCTAATGTTTTAAAATAAGATTACTGATTTTGTAAATCATAAATTCAGATTTCTTTACGATGTTTTCTTATCCTTGTGTCAGTGATAACTAAATAAACTGGAGCAAATATCACATTGAATCTTGCAAGGTTTCGATTCGAATACATCGCAAACGAAATCAATCAACACAATAGTGCTGAAACAGTCGACATGTGATGTATATGTGCTAGTGTTAGATTTACAAACACAAATAGAGTTTGACCAACGAATTCAGAACTAGCTGACTAATATCGCCTAGCATAAGGCTGCCTGTCCATTGACGCGGAGAGGGGCAGCGGAGCGGAGAAACGAAGAAATATTAACCAATAGGATCGCATGAAATCTCCGTTCCGCTTTAGTAGAAAGGGATTTGCGAGCTAGTTTAAAAATTCATACATTTTCGGAAACGGCACGTGGTAGCGGTGCCAGACGGCGGAGCGGGGAAGCCGAGTGAGCCGGCGGCGCGGCGGGGAAGCGGTCTTGGAAGCGGTGCAGGGGTATGGGATAATATAATACACCGCTGAAGTTTGACCAGTACGTTCGTGCGCTTTGTTGTAACGAAGACTTTTGAAAAATGGATGAAAGCGTAAAAAAGTAATATTTTAGTATTTTCCGTAATATTTTGCTTATGACTGAGCTGACCACCCGCCGCCCTCCACTCAAATGCGAATCATTTTGCATAAACTCGGCCCAGTTCCGCACAGTCCGTTATTCCGCTCAGCATTACTCGCTGGCTCCGCACCGCTGCCTCGCTCTGCGTCAATGGACAGGCAGCCTTAAGAGCTAAGAGAAATAGAACACATACACAGGTCTCCAATCAAAGGGACGTACAATACTAGCATCAAAATTAAATAGCCACATCAAAGACCTTTGGATTTATGTTAGAGATGTTCATTTCGAGTTCTCAGTACCATGAGGTACCATGTACCTATGTTTGTACGAGAAATATATTAGTAATCCTGAGAAGCTTACACAGAGTCTATTTTGTATTCTTAGGTACCTACAATAACGCACTAGTGTTATTCGTTTTCTTGTCGACAATTTTTCTTTCTTTTCCTCTTCATTGAAACCTAATTTGGAATTTACTGAAGACAGAATTCAGTTCATCCGTTCCTTGATTTTGCGCTTCGAATTTGTATGATAACAAATAGAAGTTATTGGTTGTTTGAGTTTAGCAAATCATTTTATCTCCTCTTCTAATTACATTTTGTAATTTACTTCATTGAGGGATCCAAGACAATTCATGTGTGGGAAGCGCCAGACTTCAGTGTCCCGGTGTTTTTATGGTTGTATCTACTGTGCTATGTATCCTGGACTTCAAGTGGCTTCGAGAGGTTGCGGTGGGCTTATCAATAAAAAAAAACAATCCACATTTAGTCAAATTGTAATGAATTAAACAGCATCCCCTAATGGTACACCTGGAGTTTGCCACCCTAAAAAGGATAGGTTTTTCAATAGGAGATATATTCTGGCTAATGACGATGGTGATTGTTTATGGGATTAACCAGTAAACGA